GCCCACATAACGCCCCTCCCTCCCTGGAGCGGGGCCATGTCCCTCTTCCGTCCCATACCCAGCCGGGGCTCATCAGCTTTGGGAATTGTGTAGAACATCAGCAAAGCTTACCACCATACCCGATCTCTGGATTATACCTGGTAACCTGCTGCGACATAATCACTGAAGTAGAGTTTCGTGTCTATTGAACTATAGCAAAGTTCTGTTTCTGTACATGTGAAATGGACAGAGAATTCTGGGTTTTAAATGTTTACAAGATAAAAAGGGAATAAAAGTTGACTTGAAAAGAAATTAAATAAAAGTTCTGATGCTTAGAGATTGTTTTAAGAGATAATGGTTTCTGACTAAACACATGAATTAGAAATCCTCCCCTGCTGTCTGACCCATTCCCAGAAAGGCAGACTGCAGATTCAGAGGGGCAACCAGCATGTCATAGTAAGGCACCCCCTGGCGACCAGAGGCCAAGCTGGAGCCTGACCCTAGTGTGCCAGCTGTGGTTATGGAAGTCCCTGGACTCCTAGGTGTGAGTCTTGGGTCCACCACCTAATGCCTCTGGGACTTGGGCCATTTACTTATTTGTTCTTTACCATAATTTCTAATATCAGAATTAAAATAGGACCCACTTCACATTGCCGTTGTAGGGATTAAAGTATGTGAAACATTGAACCCAGCTGGGGCTTGGTGTCTAATCATTGCACATGAGCTGCGGGAGGGCGGTGGGGAGATAGCACTGATGGTGGCGATGACAGTGGCGAGGTAGCCATGACGGTGGGGAGGATGGTGGTTGTTGCAGTTACTTTTTCATTGCTGGGACAAAATACCTTGATTACACTCACAAGTCAAAGGAGGAAGAGTTTATTTTAACTCCTGGTTTGCAGAGGCTTCCTTCCGTGGTTGGCTGGCTGCAGGGCAGGGTAGCGTGGTGCAGAGGCCCAGCAGCGTAGAAGCAGGGAGCCGTGAGCTTCCCTTTCCCTTTTTTTTTTTTTTCCTTTTTTTCCTTTCCCTTTTATTCCATTCAAGCTACAAGCCTAGGGGTCAGCACCACCCACGCTCAGAGTGGGCCTTTTTGTTCCCCACACCCAGGGCTATGCTGAGCCAATCATGAATATTCAGAGGGGGTACCACCGTGTTATAGTAATGCACATTACCTAGGCTTAGTAGGCATATTACTTATGCCTACTCATGGGCCCCTCCTCCTGTGATAATTTAGTTATCACACCCCTTCAATCCATAGTCACGCACACTGGATCCAACCACGTCCCCAAAGCCCCACCCATGAGCACTGAGGCTTTGGGGGGACAGTGGTGATGGTGAGAATGATGGTGATCTTGGTGATGCTGGTGATGGTGGTGAGGAAGGAGATGATGGTGGTAATGATGGTGTTGATGGTGAGCGAGGACCAAGGACAATGGTGGTAATTAGTGGCTGCGTGGAGCTTCTTTGGAGAAAGCTGCATCATGAGATTTTATTCTTCTGTGATCATCTTCGTGGGGGAAGTGGAAGTGCCAAGGTGTTGTGGACGTGTAGGAATCAGGGCCTCGTGCAGTACAGCACCATGGATGACTGCAGATGGGAGGCCAGAATGGGCTTACTCCAAGGAGGCTGGCTCCACCCACATCGGCCTGTCACTTAGGGTCAGGAAGACCTGCAGATACATGTAGAGGCTGCTGGAATTCCCAGAGCTGGCCTGACATCTTTCTTGATACAAGCAGCATTGCTGTAGCTGTCCTGGCAGCTAAGCTAGGTCTGCTCCATGGATGGCCCACTGCAGCCTGCTTTTCAGATCCTCTTGCCCACACACGTGGCCAAAGGGAGTCAGATCTCAAGAGACAGATTAAGAGGTGGAGGTGGGGGCAAGTGTGTCAGGGAGCTCTTGTCGCCTTTTACCCCTGTCATTCTGTCCCAGTCTTTGCTTTTGTTCCCATCAGTCACATGAGGGCCATGTTTTCTGCAGTGGAGCCGAAAGTTGGGACTAAAGATGATTTAGGAAAGTTCACGGCCTCCTGGACAGAAGGTGGCGTGGTCTGGCGGGAAGACTGCAGATGCCAGAGTCCAGCACAGTGCTATCTTGCATTTCTTAGCTGAGGACGTTCATTATTAATCTCTGCACCTTGGTTTGTCTGGGTGCGATGGGGCTGTGGAAGAGTGAGCTGAAGCTGGCTGTGCACTGTGTCAGGTACTCTGGCTGCCATGACGAATCACTGTAAGCTTGGCTCCGTAGCACACAGAAATCCGCTCTCTCCCAGCCCCGGAGGCCAGAAGCCTGAAGTGCACTGCGGCCGAAGGCCCATTGTCCTTCCCTATCTCTTCCCACTTCTTCTTGGCTCCAAAAGCCCTGCGTCTTCAGCTGCAGGACCATCCTCTCCTCATTGTCCTCTCTTTAAAATGAGAGGGCCACCCTAACCCAGTACCTCCTCATCTGGACTTGATTACGCTGGCGAAGGCCTTGTTCCCCAGAAAGCTCACATTCGTAGATCCAGAGAGTTGGGACTTCACCATGTCTCTTTGGAGGGCACCGCTGAGCTCACCAATACGCTTACCCCAGAGCCCCGCATCTTGTAGGTGATCAAAATCAGTCACTCCTCCTAGGACCCCGTGCCTCTTCCGAACACTGAAAAAACAAGTTGCTGCCTCCTTAGAGAACAAAGCTTGAAAGCAGGTTGCCAACCCCTTGCTCCTTTGTTCTCTTTAGAGACTTTCGTTTGTCTCCATCCTATCAATATTTTAGCATTGCCCCGTGCTGTGCTATTCTTAACTTATCCAGTTATTGATTTTTTCTTCTCCAGTAGGTACACAGTCGGCACAGGGCACAGGGCTCAGGGCCCAGAGGAATATTTCCAGCACAGATGAAGAACCTGCTAGGCAGAATTGGAGCTAATCGAAATTCAGGAGTCCAGAGGGCAGAGCAGGAAGCAGAATTGGATCCCAACCATCTGTGTGGACAGAGGCCCGTCCTTAATCAGCACAGTATATGTGTTGCCACAGCTTAATTCAGGCTCTGGTAGACTCTGGATGGGATCCCGGTCTGGCCTAATCCAGCCCCATGGTCCAGAAGGTCGGGTGGGCTCGTGGGTCTGTTGGAAAGACTTAACCTTGACTGTCCCCTGCACTGTGGCCACAGGGATGGGGAACAGGATCGTGGTCTGCTGGCTCCTAAGCCACAAGTGCTGCCCTCCTCTGTGGCTGCTGTGAATTAAACTTGCTCCCCTAGGCTGGCTCCTCTGGAAGCAGCTTCGGAGACAGAGGAGGGTGTGGTATGTTTGCCAGTGAGCAGAAAAATGTGAAGTTGGTGGGCCTGAGACCACTGTCCTTAGGAAGGCCAGCGTGCAGCGTGGCCTGGCCTGGCCTCTGAGATCTGGGGTCTCGGGAGGATCCTGCCTCTCCCCAAACTGATCAGCCTGGCCCACTGTGACTAGTCCAGTTTTACAAAAGAACATTATTTGTACCTATCTCTGTTACTTTTCTCTCATTGCTGGGACAAATTCCTGACACCCAGAAATAAGGAAGGAAAGGCTTATTTAGCTTACAGTTTGTGGAGGTTTCAGTTCATACAAAGCTGGCTCCAAGGCAGAGTGGCACGTGGCAGAGGGCAGCAGTTCACAGCAGCAGAACTCAGCAAAACAGCAAGAGGGGAAGGGAGGAGCAGTGGCAACAGTGGGCACAGCGAGCAAGTCTGTCTCCCTCAAGGTGCATTCAGGCCATCTGCCCCAGGCCGGGTGTAGCGCGCACACCCATAATCCCAGCAGCATGCACACCCATAACCCCACTGGATCATGAGTTAATCACAAACTCTGGAAGTCCACCCCACAACTGTATGAGGCTTTGCGGGGGCAGCTAGACACAAACCATAACAGTCTCATACACCTGCCTTCCTTCTGGGGGTCTGGAATTGTGTAAGCACTGGCAGAGGGCCTAAGGGGTCAGCTCCAAGTTTAAACCCTGGGCTGCAGGTCTGCCAAGTTTCACGTGCATTGTCACAGTGCATTGCTGGGGGCTTGGGGGCGTCTGTGTGCCGCCGGAGGGCCTTGGGGAGCTGCAGCCTCATTGGGCTCTGCCCGAAGCTCCTCCCCTCTCTGATTGTGCTGAGTCTTGTGCAGCAAGCAGCTGTGGACTGGGCCATGGCGAGTCTATCCAGCGGATCATCAACCCGAGTGCTCTCAGGCACCTGGCACAGTCAGTTCCTCCCACAGTGGCGCAGGGACTATCTGGACTGGGTGGAGGGAAAGGCCGGGCTGTGCTCCAGCCAGAAGAGTTTAGCCAACCTGGCAGGAAGCCCAGGAGCACGTGCTGCCTGTCACGGTGTCCTTCAGGCTGGAACAGCTGTGGTCGTGCCTCTGCTGTGCTCTGCCCACCTGATGTAGGCTGTCCAGGAAGGGTGTGACATCAGTAGTCATGACTTTCGCTGTTCGGCTGATTCTGTCCTGGAGCCTGCAGGCTGTTGCAGTGTCGTCTGCCCATAGCCGGGGACCAGGTCCTTCCTGAGAGGGCATCTGGGTGGTGTGGCTCCTTATCTACCAGCCACGCTTGATCTGTGCACACTCTGTCTGGCTGCAGAGCAGCCTGCCTACCTCCTGCAGCAGTGTGTCCCCCACGGCTGGCATTCGCCTCTCTGCCCCTGGAGTCTGGGCTGCACCTCCGATGGAAAGACGTCCTGGGGCAGCCGGCATCTCCTGGCCTCTGCCTTAGCGTGGTGCATGTTTGACGTGGGAACTTAACATGCTTAGTGCATGTGATGTGCTGGGTGTGGGTGGGGGGCTCTTGTGTGCCAGCCCTCATTCCTCAGCCCTTCCCTGCCCCTTCGAACTCCATTAAGATGCTCTGGCACAGAGAGGGCGAGCAAGATCTCGGGGCGACCAGCCGGTCTCTGGTAGAGCTCATTGCAGAACCCTGCAGCCTTTCTGACCCCTGCGTCTTCTGCTCAGCCTCTTGGTCTTCCACTTGACCTGGAAGGTGGGCCGTGTGACCATGTGTGACTGTCTTTCTCCCTCCTGCCCCTACAGGTCCTCCCCCACCACGGTCTCCACGCAGCAGGCTTCTTTATTGGACTCCTTGTCTCCATGGCGCTGAGTTGGGTGGCACTTTTCTTCCTGGTACGCTATCAGTGTCTGCCGGGAAGCCTGCTTGCCGGACACCAGGTGAGTCTTCCTCCCAGGGCGTTTGGGCAGGTGGTAGTTCGAGGTGGACATTCATCCCTCAGCCCGACTGCTGGATGGCAGACCTGGCTGGGGCTGCAAGGACAGTACTCACATCCAGGGCCCTCAGGAACAGAGTGCTTGTTCCTCCTGGGGTGCATTTCATCTCGAGTCCTTTTCAAAAGCTCCCTGGGTGATACTCTTTCAAGTTCTGTTTTTAATTGAGCCATGGTAATTGGCTAGGTTTTGGGGGCACAGTGGTATATTTTGATTCACGTGTGCACTGGGATGATCCAACCAGGGACGGAGCTCAGGTCTGGTTTCTCTGTGTTGGGAACATTTGGATCCTGTCTGCTGGTTGCCTGGGACACCCTGCACATCCTCCCTGACTGTCGCCACGCTCTCTACTGACTCCTCTCACCTGGCCGAGGCACTGTGCCTGCGGCCAGCCTTGCCTGCCCTGCCTCCGGCCTCCTGGCCGCCACTCTTTACCTCAGGGCATCAGCTCTTTAAGTGAGGGTGGGTTCTGGACGTGGGCGAGACCTTGCGGCTGTCCTTCCGTGCCTGGCTTAGTTCACTCCACACAGCGTCGCCCAAGCCATCTGCCTTGCGACAGTGTGTTACCTTTCTACGGTGAATACTCTTCTGCTCTGCGTGTCACATTTTCCTTATCTTGGCCTTTGATGGACTCTTTGGTTGATTTGTATTTGGTCCTCTGAGAAATTTTTGCCAGCGAGAACCCCACATTCGAGTGCCCGCCTGTGGGCCAGGCCCACCCCATCCCACATGCTGCCATCCTCGGGGGAATGCACCCTCCTTAGCCTGGCTCCTGCCGCCTACCCTGCGTGACACCCTTTTTCCCCCAGGCCTGGTGACTCAGTGTCCCCAAGGTGCTGCTCACACGTGGGTGCTTCTCCTCCCTCCTCAGACTGGCACAGTTGTTGTCCATCTTCTAAATCTAAACTTGGGTATCTCCTTCCCTGGAAGCCATTGCTGGCCACTTCCTGGCGGGCTATGGGGTCTCTTTGAGTTCCCTGCCAGCACTTGCCAGAACCTACTAGCTCCAACTCTGAACCTCTCCATCTCTTAGTCTGGGTTCCTGCAGGAGCACATCCTGAGACACGGTTCAGTTTCCGTAAGCGGTGCAGGAAGTGGTCCCTAGCACACTGGGAGGGGTGAGGAAGTGCACAGGGAGAGACCTGTGAGCACTGGGTTGGGAGCTGAGTCCTGCCCCTGCCCAGGCCCCATGAATGGTGCAGAACCGCAGCAGCCATTCCACCTGAGGTGCGGTGGGGCTGGGTGACACCCACCAAGACCTATCAGTAAGGGCAGGCAGGGCCAGCGTGGTCCCCTTCCTGGGGTGCCTGTGAATGAGTGTTCTTCTACCGGATGGTGAGAGGGACAGAAGGGAAAGCCAAGGGGGCTGTCAGCCGCCGGAGCTCCCTTCCTCCAGGGCAACCTTGGTAGGTGGGACTGTCCGTGCAGGGCCTTTGAGAGCAGGAGCCGCTGTGACTCGGTGTCACCCACAGGTCCCACATTGTAACAGAGCACCGACCATCCTGTCTCACTTTATGTGGAGAAGACTGTGATCCCTGGGTCAAGCAGCCGAGCCAGGGTGGGCCTGGCTTCTGGTGGCCCTGCCTCTCCAGAGACAGAAGCCTTGTCCCCACTGCAAGGCCCCTCGATGGCGCTGTCCCTGACTGCAGGTGGTTGGGGGAGGGACCCCCATTTCAAAGCACAGCCAGTCCTCTGGTCCTCTGTCTCCTTGGCAGGCAGGAGCTGAGAAGAAAAACTGCCTGCATGCGTTCCCCCAAGCTGTCATCCATCAGGGGGACAGAATGAGCCCTGCTCCTGTGATGGCGGATGGGATTTATTTCCTGGAGATTAAAGGCAGATTGGTACAGCTGTGGGAGGACAACTGCACAGAGCGTGAACGTGATTAGGACCCGAGACCCTCGCAGTATTTTTTCCCCAGTGTTGCAGAGTGACATCTTTGCATCTCTCTCTCTCTCTCTCTCTCTCTCTCTCTCTCTCTCTCTCTCTCTCCTTCCTTCGCCAGCATAGTGGCAAACAGTGAGACCATGTGCTGTAAAAAGAAGAGCGTCTCTGAGCCAGAGCGAGTTGGGCGGACGTCAGCACGCCTCTTAGGAGCCTCCGCAGATGACTGCGCACTCGGAGCTTGCGTCTCTTATCTGTAAATGGGCTACACCAGCACTTCATGATACAACTCGTACAGAGTTCCCCCAGTACTACCTGGTGCAGGAGCAGGAGTTGGCAAATGGGAACTGTTAGCTGTCAGCCGTTTCTGCAGAACTAATGATCCTGGGGTGGGAGAAGCAGAGATCTCATCTATTCACAACAAGAAAGTGGGGCTTAATTTTCTCTAATGTCACTTCCATCTCCCAATCCTGTGTGCTCATTGGAAGCCAGCCAGGTCTGCGGCGTTGCGCTGCGTCAAGGCGGTATGGGCTTCCCTCTCCCTGGCGCCGGTGGTGGTGATGGCGTGATAGTTCTGTAGGTCTCTGTGGGTTGCATCACTTCATTTTATCCCCACAACACCTGTGTGCAGGGGAGAGTTGTGCCCTAAGGGACATACATTGGCTTTTGTGACTTTGTCTGGCGTCCTGAGTGCCCACAGCGTGGCAGGCTGGCCGGGTCCTGTGTCTGAAGAGCTGGCCTTTCCTTCTGGCCCAGCACACGGCAGCCCGAGAAGCCCGCACAGTTGCTGTTTCTGCAATTCTCCTCCAGATGCTGCATCCTGAGAACAAGCTGGAGCCCTCGCCCTTCGCCTCGGCTGACGGGATCGGGGAGGATCTCTCCCTCGATGACCAGATGATCGGCACCCTCACCTCTGAGGACCCCAGGAGCATGCTGCAGGCCCTGGAAGAGTAAGACTTACCAGCCCCATGCGGTGCGATGGGGGAGAGTGTGCCCTTCACTCAGTTTGTCATTCCACCATCATTCAGTAATCAAAACCCAGCAATTGCTGTGCAGCAAACGCTGCGCTCAGCAATTAGCCGAAGGGTCAGTGAGACACAGCTACTGCTGTGAGGCAGCGCAGTGAGCTGGGCAAGAGGTGTGACCACACAGCTTGCTGACAGGAAGGTGTAAGCTGGCTGAGTCCAGAGGAGGATGTCATTGGTTCTGGGGGTCATGGATATACTTCCCAGAGGAAGTATGATGTGACTGATTCCTGTTGGTGAAAGAGAAGCTTTCCAAGTGCGTTAAGTGAGGAAAACCTTCTCAGGTGCAGGAAAGAAGGGCCAGAGGGAAGGACAGGAGCAAGCTAGATGTAGCTGATGAGGTACAAGTGGCCAGGTGTCATCGATGTGTGGAGTGAGGTGTGGAGTCTAGTAAAACAGAAGAGAGGCAGCTAAAAAGAGACCACATGTCACAGTTTGCATCTAGTTGTCCCCAGTGCCTCGTGCAGTCGTTAGGGCAGCCTCTAGAGTTTGTGATTACTTCATGATCCAGTGCTGAGATTACGGGTGTGAGTGCTGCCCCCGGCCCGGGGCGGGCGGCCTGAAGACAGTATGGGGAGGGGAGAGGGGCTTGCTAGCTGCTGCAGCCGCCGCTCCTCCCTCTTGGCTCTTGCTGTTTTCTGTAGCCATGAATGGCTGCCCTCTGCCCTGTGCCACTCTGCCTTGGCTCCAGCCCGAGTATGAACTGAAACCTCCACTAACTATGAGCTAAACAAACCTTTCCTTCTTAATTTTGGGTATCAGGTATTTTGTTCCAGCAACGAGGACCAAGTGTGATAGTTTGCTGTGCTGAATTGAGTGTTCTCTTTTTATTTAATGGGGAGTTATTCTGTTCTATCTGTGTACAATAGAACTTTGTGCTGGGCGGTATGTACGAGCTATCAGAATCCTCTCAGCAGTCCTGTAAAGAGACCATTGCTTTGACCCTTGTGTGGATGAGGGTTGGGAGATGCTGAGCGATTGGCTCAAGGGCTCGGGCTGGTGCATGCGGGCTTGGGCTCAGGCTGGGCAGAGCAGCTGCAGACCCCAGGCTCCGAGGG